AGTGACACGGGCTGAAGAAGCTCCACCGTACAACCAACTGCCAGCAGAAGAAATATGCTATGCTTTAGTTCACTGATGGTTCCTGTCGCATTGTAGGGATGAACCAGAAGTGGAAAGCAGCCGTATGGAGCCCCACACAGCAGGTTGCAGAGGTCACTGAAGGAGAAGGTGGATCAAGCCAACTTGCTGAACTCAAAGCTGTTCAACTGGCCCTGGACATTGCTGAAAGAGAGAAGTGGCCGAAGCTCTGCCTCTACACTGATTCAAGGATGGTAGCCAATACTTTGTGGGGATGTGGGCTGGAAAGGTGGAAAAGGGCCAATTGGCAGCGTAGGGGAAAACCAATCTGGGCTGCTGATGAGTGGAAAGACATCGCCACCAGGGTAGAGAAACTGTCTGTGAGGGTCCGTCATGTAGATGCCCATGTCCCCAAGAGTAGGGCTAATGAAGAGCACCGAAACAATGAGCAGGTGGATCAGGCTGCAAAAATGTCAAAGACTTAGCAAGTCTGGAAACACAAGGGAGAATTGTTCCAAGCTTGATGAACCTATGATACCTCAGGCCACCAGGATAGAGATGCCACCTATAAGTGGCACGAGACCGAGGGGTGGATCTAACCATGGACAGCATTTCTCAGGTTATCCATGACTGTGAGACGTGTGCCACGATCAAACAGGCCAAGCGGTTGAAGCTGCTATGGTATGGTGGGCGTTGGTCCAAATATAGGTATGAGGAATCCTGGCAGATTGACTACCTCACACTGCCCCAAACTCGCCAAGGCAAGCACTATGTGCTCACAATGGTAGAAGCCACCACTGGATGGTTGGAAACCTACCCTGTGCCTCATGCTACAGCCTGTAACACCATCCTGAGACTTGAAAAGCAGGTCCTTTGGAGGCATGGCACCCCTGAGAGGATTGAGTCAGACAATGGGACTCATTTCAAGAACAGCCTTATAAACAGCTGGGCTAGGGAACATGGCATTGAGTGGCTGTACCATATCCCCTACTGTTTCCGCCGAAGATCAATAGATCACGTGGACACACGTCGAGGTGTGGTGCAAGAAAGAGCAGCGTTTATTTTTCCTCCCAGGATTTATAGGCTTCTGACCACGGCCAGGGATTGGATGGTCAGTGTAATAAAGAATTGGGTAAATAAAAATTCGGAATAAGAGGTTTAAATAAAGTATGTGTAATTATAACTAATGAAAATATGGAATAAGGAATTCTCCTCCGGGTCGAGGTAGAATTCCTTTTCCAAAGTCACGGATTGCAAAAGAACCCCCCCAGATAACAAGCTTCAGCAGACTCATCAACTCGAAGGAAAGGACAGGACACAGGCCATCATAGAAACAAAAGAACTAGCCTGAAAGTCTACCTCCAGATAAAGGCAACGCCCGGCCGATTTCGGCCGGAGACCATCAAGCAAGACAAAAGGGACGAGCCCCAGGAAAATGATCGTTGCCAGAATTGAACACCACACCCGCCAAACCCATACTACAGAAACTCAATCAAGAAAGACAAAGAAGAGACTACTCCTCCGAGATATCCATCGGCGCTAGCCCGGATCCCTCGATTCTGCTGTGATGAAATATGTTAAAATACATACAGACTCACTTTGTATTTGAGGAGACTCTGCCCGGACACTTACAGATTCAATGTTCTAGGCCAGGAAATCCATTCACCCGACAATCAGGGACACTTGGTGAATGGAAACTGGTTGGAATTCTAGCCTGGGGACATAAAATCCCTATAAAAACCCAGGCCAGAGAACCCTCAGACGTGGATTTGGGAACACCTATACCTTGCGTATAGACCCTGTCCACCCAGCGCTGCGCTGTCCATTTATTATGGTTTTTCCTCGCTGTTCGTTGCTTTATTAATTTATAATAAATTTATCTTTGTTAATCTTTAATCTGCCGTTGCATTTATAACAGTCAGGATAACACTTTCTCACTGCACTGGCCATGAGAGATGCCCATCACAAGACGTGTAGCAGAAAGAATGTACACATATCTATGTTTACAGTTACTGTCCTGGGAAAGTCTTTAGAAAACTATGTTAGCAAGCTCAGAAGCTGAGTTTTCAGGGCGACACCCTACCATGCACCCACTGCTGGAAAAGTTGAACGGTGCAATGGCCTGCTTAAAACCAGCTTGAAGGCACTGGGTGGGGGAACTTCCAAGAACTGGGAGATTAATTTAGCAAAAGCCATGTGGTTGGTGAACACCAGAGGTTCCACTAACCGAGCAGGCCCTGCCCAATCTGAGCCCTTTAGAATGACAGATGGAGATAAGGTTCCAGTGGTACATATGAGAGGTATGCTGGGAAAAACTGTTTGGGTTAATTCTGCCTCCAGCAAAGACAGTCCAATCTGTGGGGTTGTCTCTGCTCAGGGACCGGGTTGCACCTGGTGGGTGATGCAAAAGGATGGAGAGACCTGGTGCATACCTCAAGGGGACCTCGTTTTAGGGTAAACTACCTATGACACTGTGCTTGTATCTGTATCTGTATGTACATATGTATATAGTTAAAGTAGTGTGTGTTTGTGTATAATTTAAAGGTTTAATATTTGATGTAACATTTTGGTATGGGAAAAAATTTGGGGTGGATAATGTTGGGGGTTAGATGTCCTTTTTTTTTAATTCTGGCTTGCCCGTAGAATCTTTTCCCATTAGTTGTGGGGACAACCTAACTGTGGGTACTTGGTGGGTGCTTGACAAAAGACAAAGAGTGGCCGGGCCCAGGGTGGGAAGGGGCCAGGAAAAAAGGAGGGTGGAGACAGTTTGGTGGGCTTTCTTAGGCTTCAGAGAAAGACACTTTGGGGCACGGAGCTGTTGCGGTGGAGAGAAGGGAATTTCGCCATCACCCAGACGGAGCTGCTGCTTCTTCTCCTTCTTCCCTCTTTATTGGTGGCCTTGCACCCTCTGTCCTGCCGGGACGTGTGGCAGTGCCAGGCACCGCTGCGGAGCTGCTGATCCACCTCATCCACCAGCCCAGGATCTCAGCTCATCCCTGCTGTTCCAGCTGACTGTTCCTCAGAGCCCTGCAGGAGCACCGGGACTGCCCACCTGAGGGGGTTTGTGAAGCAAAGCCTCTCCTCCATCCCTTCCCGTCTCAGCCGAGAAAGCTGTCACGGGGTCCCTGGTTCTGTTTTGTTGCTAACACTGTAGTTATTGTTTGTTTGCCTGGTTATACACACTAGTAAAGAACTGTTATTCCTATCCCCAGATCTCTGCCTGAAAGCCCCTTGATTTCAGAATTATAATAATTTAGAGGGAGGGGGTCTACGTTCTTTCATTCCAAGGGAGGCTCCTGCCCTCCTTAGCAGACACCTGTCTTCTAAAACTGAGGCACAGGATGTATTTGTTCTGGAGCACATTTTTGAGCACAGAGAGGGACATGCTGACCACATCTTCATCTGCATCACCCAGCAGCTCAAGAAGGCTTTGAGATTGGCTGCATATAGGTCTGGCCTGTGTGGAACACAAGGCTGTGCTGGGAAGCCATGAACAGCTGCAGAGCAAACACCACCCTGGCACTGTGTAGTGGTCTAGATTTGCTAATTTTGTTTCCCGGTCAACACACCAAATAAATGTTGCGGTTTTAAAGCAGCAACTAAAAAAATCACTAGAAAACTTACTTATTTCTTGCTGTGAGATTTGGATTAGAACAAGAGCAAAAGAGGATTAAAACTTAAAAGGAATAAAGAAAGTTTATTATCAAAACTACAAGAATAAGAAAACCAAAATAAAACCTCCAGAAAACCCCTCCTTCCCTTACTACCCAACCATTCTCTTGTTTACATGACAACATAGCGACAAAAAAACTTGGAACTTTGGTGTTTACAACAGTTTCAATTTTTGCTAGTCTTTTCATCAGTCTTTGTAGAGAAACAGGAGTCTTCTTCTGCTAATCTATGGAGTTTCTCACAAGAAAACTATTTCTGTTATAGCTTTCTATTTCTCTGATGCCAGCTGCCCGGAAATCTGTCATCAGTCCTCTTCTCCCATTTCACATCACTCTGAGGTGTGTATGGGTCAATGAGTCTAGGGATGTCATTTTTAAGGATGAGTTATTCAAAGGCAAAAGTTCTCTTCATCTGTCTCTGTGAGCCTCCCTGGAAACAGAAGTTTTCTCTTTGCCTCTCAAGGCCCCAAATCTTCAACTATTACTTCTCCCCTCTGTTCCAGAACCTCACTGTATCACAATTACTCCAGCCTTTGCTCAAAATCTACACTTTGAACCACTCTATTCCTCCCAATATACTCTGTCATGAATTAAAGGAGCTTTTTTTCAGAACACTATTGTCTATCTCCATAGCTTTAACAGAAAAATATTTCAGCTTAATTAAAGCATCTCTTTATTCTCTCTTCCCCATCTAAAACTTAACTCTTTTCTTCACTATCTTTGATGGTTTTATGATGTCTTCTTCATGTTATCTTTCTCTTTCTCCTCCTTCTCTCTCTCTGGGAAAAAGGAGTAATCTGTCAGTCTCATCCAGGTAGTAAAAGAGTTAGTCTTGGAAAGCTGCAGATGTTCATGGTGTCAGGTTTCAGTTCAGCAGCAGAAACTGCAAACCAAGCCAGGCCGGCTGGCTCCGTTTCTCCCCCCCCCGCCTTCTGTGGCCTTGTCCAGCCTGGAGCGGGGGGGGAGGAGGCCGAGACAGAGCCTGTTACCTCGTCAGAAGCTGGAAACCAAAGAGAAAAAAAGAGCCTTGGCTTTACATTTTAAGGTGGTGTTCACAAGTTGATCTCACTTCTCAATAGTTAAAACCGCCACCAATTCTCAGAAATGAGCAATAATTGATCACAAGAAAAAACTCCCATCAGCCTCTCACAGCTTCAACTTCCTCACAGCTCCTGAACATATCTTAAAAGTAAAGTCACCCCATGACACACTGCAACCCCGCCCTGCTGCTGCTGGGCCCAGAGGCCAAAGGCCTGTCCCAAAGCACTCAGGCAGGTGAGGCAGGAGAGCTGGGAGCAGCTGCCTCAGCTCCTAAAGCCCAGCCAGACCAAGGGACTTCTTTCCCCAGCACAGCTTCAGCTGCTGCCCCATTCTCACCATCAAGGGATACTTGCTGAGCACCATAAGGCCTCTGAATGCCAGGCGATGCCTCAGCTTGCACTTTCTTTGCAGGTGCCTTGACATGATCTCCAGGATGCTGTGACTACATTCACGCAAATCCAGGCAATCCAGGACCTGAAAGGCACAGGGCAGTGAGAGGGGACCCAGCCGGCAGGAGCCTGGAAGTGAGCAGGGCTGGGCCCAGGCAGCAGCACAGGGCACGGACACCGTCCCAGGCAGCTGGGGCTATGCAAGGGGACAGGGCTGGCAGGCAGCTCAGCAAGGTAGTGCTGACCATCAGGCTCACCTCCACAAGGAATGCCAGGAAGTGCAGATCCCAGAGCGGGTCCTCTCTGCTGAGCAGCCGGAGCAGGCGGAGTGCAATCCCAGAACACAAAGAGAGGGAGGCACTGGGCATCTCCCTATCAGAGGGAAAAGGCACAAAGACCCTGAGTTGGAGGGGCAAGAGACCGTGACTGATTCACAGAGATCTGGTCTTTCCTCACCACACTGAAGGGGATGGGGGTGCTTTGGGGGGAGGCACCTTCTGGGCACCCTCAGCCAGCATTTTCCAGTCTGCTTGGCCATCCCTCAGTGACAAGGCCCTCTGTCCCAGGACCACAGGGAATGTGTGAGGCAACCCAAGCACAGGGCACTATTTCAGAGGCAGCGGCAAGAAGGGGGCCTCACCTGGCCTGCAGACCCATGGCATAGTTCTGGGTGTCAGCACAGAGCAGCATGTCCCAGCCACACTTGCATTGCATTTCCATGACCAGTCGGAAGAGCAGAGCCTTCATGGCCTGCACTGCAAACCTGTGTGCAGAGTAAAGCCCAGGTCACATTGGGTGCACTGGTGCTGGTCACAAAGGCATTGGGAAGGACAGGAGGACTGGCACCTGTTGGGTTTTCTGGGAAGGCAGTATTCCTCCTGGCATGCTCTCCAGAAGATGTCAACTTCCACTGGTGGCATCTGCTGGGTGGTGATGACAACATGGAACAACAGAACCACAAACAGGCGGGCGGAATAAAGGATCACCACCTCGTGGCATTCAGGCACTTGGATAATCATCCAGAGCACCAGAGTTGCCTGCAAAAGAAGCACCCAAAGACAGCGCTCAGAGCCAAGGTGTCCATGGGGCAGGGCCCAATAGGAGACACAGGGGGAGCAGCAGGCCTGCCCCTAGCTCAGCGCCTGAGGCAGGGAGAGGATGGAGAGCGGCTGGAGAAGCAACGTCTGGGTGATCAAAGGCCAGCTCCAGGAACTCACAGCCAGAGCAAAAACATCCTTGTTGTCTCCATCAGAGGTGCATATGCTGTGCAGAGGCCAATCCTCCATCACACAGAGCAGTGTTGGCAGCACTTTCTCTACTGTTGGTCGCGACAAGCCTATGGCTCTCCACATCATTTCAGCAGCTCTGTGGGATCAGAGCTCTGTGTCAGGGGTGTCTCAGTCACAGCACCATGCCCTACACAGCTGTGGGGTCCCAGATGACAGAGCCCCGGTGCCCTGAGGGGCAGGGAGGGAGCATTGGCAGCAGCCTCAGGAAACAGAGGGGCCCGAGGCTCCTGGACCTCTCTGCCTGTTAGGCAGACCCCATTGGAAAGGCTGTGCAGGGTGATGGGCCCTAAAGGCTGGTGAGCCCTGAGCTCTCAAGGCACGTGGAGATGTCACATGATGGGGCACAATGCAGGAGGGTTAGCACCACATTGACAAGGTGTTCTTCAGCCAGCCTTATAATGTCAATTTGCTGCCTGGCATCCACAGTGACATGGGACATGATACTCTGGTGAATGCTCTGTACAATAGTTAGCACCTGGAGGAGGCATGGGGAAGACATGGAGTGCTGTCCAAGGCAGCAACTTCCCCAGCTTCCCCCAAGAAGTGCTTCCCTTCCTGCCACATTGTGCTGGCCTCAAAGGCTGAGGGAGCCCTGTGGATGTGGCTTGAGGGGACACATGATCCTGGGAGGCCTCCTGTTCTGGCCCCAGGCTGGGTACCTGCTGCTCTAAAGAAACACCCCTCTTTCAAAAAAATACATATTAGGTGCATGACTCACTGTGGGAGGGGGCGCACTGTCAGTATTCGCAATGCTCTGAGTCTCTCTGGAGTTTGGAATGGCCACGTCCCCAGTCACTGCCATGTCAGAGTTTGCCCTGTCATCACTCAGTGCAGTGTCAGAGTCTTCTGGGTGCTCAGCTGAATCTGGGCTGACATCAGGCTCTGCCTGGAGCTCGGTCAGCCAGGAGTCAGGCTCAGCTGCGCCCTCAGTTGCTGCTGTGGTGTTGTTCTTTCTATGCCGAATGCGCAGGAACTTCTGGAACCTCTGCAAGGAGAACGAAGAACAGGGAGGAGAAGCATGTTCCATGGAGTGCTCCAAGCTCCACTGCTGGGCTGAGCAGTGCCAGCAGACACAGCCCAGGTGGGGATGGCTGCAGGTACCTGTGCTGCTCTGCGGAAGCGGCCACGGGCAGGGTCCTGCTCTTGTGTCCCGTCTATGGCTGCATCTGGCAAAGAGCAGCCAGAGCTGAGGGGCTGTGGGAGAGGCCGGAGAACACAGCCCAGCCCTGCACTCTCCAGGCAGAGACAGCCCTGGGGTGGCTCAGGGGATGGAGCACAGCCAATGCTGGGGTCAGCCCCAGCCCCTCTTCTGTCCTGTCCATGGGCATGTCCACAGGGGATGAGATGATGGGATGGGATGGGATGGGATGGGATGGGATGGGATGGGATGGGATGGGGCCTAGCTGGCTTGCAGCCATCAGCCCTGTGGCCCAGCTGTGGCACTCACCATCCTGCAGTGGCTGGAACTGCTCCAGCTCTTCAGGCGGTTGTGCTGGGGCAGTTCCAGGGCCTTTCTTTTCTTTCCCCCTGAACACTTTGAACAGGCTGAGGAATCTGCCCGCCATGACACAATCTGGCCTTGAGGGCACCTTCTAGAGAGATGCCTTGGGAAATCTCTGAGTCAGCAACTCATGCAATTGTGCCTGGAAGGCACCTGCAACAGAGAAGGCTCAGAAAGGCTACAGGACAGCAAGTCCTACAGTCTGGTCTCATGGGCTCCTGCCACAATGACAGGATCTTAAATGATTCAGGTGACCAAATACCATGAACTGGCCTGGATGGCACAGGCCACAGGGATTGGAGATGCCTTGGGAAAGCTCCAGGTCACCAAGTCACACAGTCTGACCATGAGGTCAGCTGCAGGAATAATGCTTCAGAAAAGCTTTGGGTCAGACACAAATGAGTGCGCTGTGCGGGGGCTCCTCACAGCACCACTCTGGTGCGTCCTGTCCCGTCGCGTGCACTGAGCACTGTGGTGTGGTCCTGTCACCGCCAGCTCCTATGTCACCACGTGTCACCAAGGGCCCTCTGACACCCTGTCCATTTCCATCCCATGGTGACCATGTGTCACAAAGGGCCCTTGCACACACTACCACGCACCCTGGTTCTGCCCCCATCCCCCCCAAAGTGGCCCAGGTTGGAAGGAATCCCTTGCCCAAGGTGTCTAAGACAGCCTGACAGGATCTTTAGGAACAGCTCAGACCATCAGCAAATGCTGCCCTGCTCTGTGGGCTCAGGGCAGCAGAAAGAGCCCCCAGGGCTGCCGACGCAGCCACAGCAGGAAGGGCACAGGGCCTTGCACAGAAGCTGGCATGGCCTCCTTGGGACACGTCCCGGCTGCTGGCCATTCTAAACTCACAGGTGTGACACAGACAAGGAACGTGTGGGTCAAGGCATGAATGCTGCTCTGAGCCCTGGGGCCCAGCCAGCACTAAAATCAGCAGGTGTGGCAGAGTCCCCACCAATACAGATCTGCCATCCCCCAAGCCCTCTCAATGCTGGTGCTCATCTCCTGCCCCAGAGACCTATGCCCCTGGGGGGCTTCTGTGCCACAGGGCAGCCAAAGCCCATGTGCACTGGGGGCTGTGCTCCTTCCTGCAGGGGTCTTGGCTGCAGCTTCTAGAGCTACTGCTGGCCACTCTTGCTATCTGTCAGACGATGTTGCTCCTTCCTGGAATGATGCTTTCCATGGAAGGGGTTTGCAGTAGCACGAAAACACCATCAGCTGCTGAGTTTCCTAGGATGGTTAGATTGTAAGGAGGCACTGTCATGTTTCAGTCTGATCTTCTCTCTGTTTTTCTGGGAGAAACATTAGCCCAGTCTCTGATGTTCAAGGCTCCAGTTGCTGCGTGTCTGTCTTTGTGCAGCTGATGCAAGGCTAACATTTCCTGCAGACACAAAGAGTCCTGCCTGAACAGTCACAGAGCTACATCTATTTCTAATTTTAACTTTTTTACATTTTTCCATAGCCTGCTGACTGTTTTCAAGGTTTTCTCCCTATTTTCTCCCTCGTGCACATTCTCCAGAAATTGTGCTTTTACATCCTTTTGCATTTATTAAATTTACCTGCAATGACCAGTCAATCAAAACCCTGGGAAAACTTGAACTTTGGGTTGAACTAGGGCAAAATATTTATCTCCCACATCTGAAGCCATGAACTGCCAAGTACTGTCCCCACTGTCATACCCTGTCCCCTGGAGGTCTGCTGATGCCATTTCAAAGGGGTTGCCAATGATAACAAGTTTGAATATTTTTGTGGTTTCCACATTGGCGTTAAAATCCTTGACTAGAAAAATCACATGTCAAAATTTCTAGGATTCTTACATACCAAAGCTGTCATCTTCACCCTGGATTTTAGTATGTCTGAACAGTCAGACAAAGTTTTAGTTTTAGACATTACAGAAAAAGTCCCTGGTGTTTGGCTATACCTTTACATCAGCATATAGTCCTGATGATTACTTTAGGCAGAAGCAGCAAACGCAAGAATGAGCCAAACAAGCTATTCCTGTGTTCTTACATCCTGCACAGCAGAAACTGGGAATTCAGGAATGGATTCAGGAGGCAATGGGTGCACAGGGGAGGCAATGGGTGCACAGGGAGCCACAAAGACTTTGGGATGCTGAAATGGACCAGCCTGGTGCCTGTGCCTGGGATGCACTGGGCTGAGCTCCAACTGGATGATCTAACAATGGTTGAATGGAAACACCATGGGCCACTGGAGACTCCTACTCCTAGTTCTGTGAGCTACAATATTCACCTGTAACCAGATGATTTTTTCATCTTTGCTTGAAATCCAGGAGAGGAAAAACCAGATGATTTTTTCATCTTTGCTTGAAATCCAGGAGAGGAAAAAGTCAACATGGAAAAGTGTTCTTCCAATTCTAGTGACAGTTGTGCCTGCACACCAGCTGTGCCCATGGCAGGGTGGTTGGAGACTGAATGATGTTTATGATACTTTGCAACATAATGTGCTCCGGGATTCTGTGATTCCCCAAATGGGGAGCAAAACTGAGCCGTGTAAGTCCCTGCTTTTTTTCAGCGCATGCTGTATCTTCCTTTGTTCCAAGCAAGTCCAGGGTTTAGTTTCAGAGCTGACGCATCTGTCATTAAGATGCCTTCACAGAAGAGAGGGAGGGCAGGTATAGCACAGGGCTCGTACCCCATCAGAGTCTCTCTCTCACGATGGCTCCAATGCTGCTGCCTTGGGACACCTGAATGTGGAAGGCGAGCCTGCCCTCAAGCACAGCCATCCAAGTCAGTCAGGGGCACAGGCTGCAGCTGAAGCTGCCAAGCATTTATCTGTGAGTCTGGCAAGTCAAGAGAAAGCCATCGTGGCCAATTCTGCTGAAGCTTTTTGCCAAACCAAAGGCAACTGTGCCCACAGCCTCCCCCTGTTTGGCACCTGGCTGCTGCGGATGCCTCACTGTGCAGGTGCCGACGTTGGGGCTGCTGCTGTTCCTGGGCACACTCTGCTGCTGTTTCTGTGGGCTCCAGAGCCCCTTGGGCAGCAGCGACTCGGCAGCCCTGCTAGAGGAGACATCGCCGCCCTCCCCATGGTGGCAGCAGCTCTGTGGGCCCCGAGCTCTGTGTAAGGGATACCTCGGTCACAGCACCGTGTCCTGGGCAGCCGCGAGGGCCTGGGTTGGCGGCCAGCCCTGCCTCTGCCCACTGCCCCTTCTTGGAGGCACCCAGTGGCCGTGGCCTGGCAGCACCACCCTGCCCTCCATGTCCCCAGCCAGCCTAGCCTGGGCACCTTGGGCTGTCCCCACCCTCCTGGAGGGTGGTGTCCCAGCCTCGAGGGCTTCTACTGCAGGGCTGGGAGATATTTTGGGGAAGTGCCAGATCAGCCGGGTGTCAGGAGCAAGGTGGCTGCCCGGGGGCTGCTTATGCCCTCTGACACCCAGTCCCTCAGGTCTTCCCACCACCCTGGCCCCTCAGGGGCCTCCTGTCCCCTTGGAGCCTCCAGCCTTCACACATCCCCCTCACGCTGTTATAAATTTGTATTGTGATATTGGCTTTCGCAGATGAATATATATATTAAATACTTTTTAGCTATGCTAACAAGTCTTAAGTTTAAAAGAATTTCCTAGGTACAAGGCAAGGAAACCCCAG